TATTCTTATTTCCCGTTTAGAACACTGTATCGGTCTGCAGGGAAACCTTCTAAAATGGTTTATATCTTATTTGACTAACCGTTCTTTTTCAGTTAACATTGATAATTTCACTTCTTCCACGGCGCATCTTGCTTGCGGAGTTCCGCAGGGATCCATTTTAGCTCCAACTTTATTCTCTTTATATATGATACCTTTATGCGATATTCTTGCGAAACATGGGATAGCGTTTCATTGCTACGCTGATGACACACAAATATACATGCCAATTAAAAAAGGAAATGCAAAGGCTTTAGAAACCCTGACATCCTGTCTTAAAGATCTCACGAAATGGATGTCCTCAAATTTTCTCCATCTTAATGAATCTAAGACGGAAATCATTCTATTTGGGTCAGTATCTGCTACGGCAGTCCTTAAAACGGAACTAAAAAAGTTTGAACCAAACATGAGATCGTGTGTCAAAAATCTGGGCATCCAAATTGACAATGAGCTTAAAATGGATAAACAAATTAGTTCTGTGGTTCGGTCTTGCTTCTTTTATCTACGTCAAATCGCAAAAGTTAAGCTGTTTTTAAATTTTTCAGATACTCAGAAAATCATTCATGTGCTGATATTTTCCCGCTTAGACTATTGCAACTCGCTTTACTGCGGTATTAATAAGTCATCTCTAGATCGGCTGCAACTAGTCCAGAATGCTGCTGCTAGACTCCTGACCCGGACACGAAAATATGAACATATCACTCCCATCCTTGTTTCGTTGAATTGGCTACCTGTAAAATACAGAATTGAGTTCAAAATCCTGGTCATGGTATTTAAGTCTATTAATAACCGCACTCCACCTTATCTTGCAGATCTCCTTGTAAGACATGTTCCCTCTAGATCACTTAGATCCAGTGATCTGGCACTCTTAACAGTGCCCAGAACTAGATCTAGGCTCAAGGGTGATCGTGCGTTTGCGGTGAGCGGTCCAAATCTGTGGAATAAGCTGCCACTAGCTATCAGAACGGCACCGACTCTGGCTATTTTTAGATACAAATTAAAAATTAATTTACTCTCTATGGCATTTTAAAATGGGTGTTGCTTTAGGACTGTATTATATTTCTTTTCTCTTTTTTTAACGCTATTTACTTCATGTTGATGTGTTATTTTCTATGTGTACCATGTAAAGCACTTTGGGCAACTTAGTTGTATTTATATAGTGCTATATAAATAAAGAAGAAAAAAAAAAGGTATGATGCTCAATTTATACATAACTACCTAGTATTAGGGGAAGAACTTAAAGTCATTGTGAGGGTTGACTCTGTTGTCTACCAACCTGAACTGTGTTTCGGTATTCAGAATCATCTGAACATGTTTACCATTTGCTCAGTCTCAGGATCTGTATCTGTATGAGGCAGGAAAGTCATGGTTATCACAAGCTACACAATGGTGATTTACATATAAGATTATGTAATGTTTTACAAGCTTTTGGCCTGCTTTGTTGTTTTTCTCCATCACAAGAAATTTAAGATCAACTATTATGCAAAAACACAGACAACCACAACACTCAATGTTCACATGTGAGAGACATTATCCTGCAATGTCTTCTTTTTTTATTCAAAACTCACATGTAGTTTCCATCCTGCCAAGGCCTGTAAAGTAGGCTACAAACTAGGTCAGAGTTCTGTTTCTGTTTCAGAATTTTGAATTATTTATTAAAAACAAGAACATTAAACCACCTCTCCAATGGTGTAACACCCTTTACACAGCAGTTAGTTCCAGTTTGATTGGCCAAGCAGCATGAGTGGGTGATTTGAACATTATGCTGCCTTCAAGTGCTCTTGGAAATCCCCTACTTCCAAGTTGGGCAATCACTGTTTGACATCACGCATTCAAGCGGGAAAAATATTGCAAATCTAAAATATCATTTATTTTCATTTTACAAATATTTTACATTTATTTTCATTTGTTTATATGATTTGCATTTCTGTCACTTATTTAAGCATGGTATCTTATTTTGCATTAAGCAAACCACGAAGGGTGAGTGATTAAAGTCAGCATGAAATAGAAACTATGATATAATTTTGTCTTTTCCCCTTACTGTGATGTATATCTGAGTTAAATGGCTTCTCAAACAAGAAAAAATGTACGGCAGGGCTTGATTTTGTTTATTGGGAATTGATTAGGATTGTTGTTGTTTGCTAATTGCTGTGATCTGATGTGAGTGACAGGTTGCTGGAAAGGAAGGATAATTGCCCAGCCCTCACGCCGGTATAATAAACACTCCAATATTCCATAAATAATAATAATAATAATATGGAGAAGAAGAAGAAGAATTGCTCATTTTGATGTCATTTTCTGTCTAAAAGTTAATTTGGACAAAACACCTTAATATTATTAAAATAAAATATTAATAAAATAATGGGCCCATAATAAAATTTTTGGTTATTGCACCCTCAGATTCCAGATTTTCAAATAGTTGTATCTCGGCCAAAAAGATTGATAGCAGCAGTCAGAAGAGAGAACGATGACAAATGTATAGTGTTATAAATGTGTTGTAATTTTTTTAGAAATGAAAATAATAAAAACAGGATTTAAGATGTTGATGACCGTCGAAAAACGCCATCACAGTCTGTAAAAAGGGTCTATTGCTTGGAGCAGGGTTTCTTTTACAAGTTGAGGGAAGATTGAAAACTCCAGAGTGGAGTCAGAACGGAGTGATAATGGAACGCTTTGAGGCGAATAGAAATTTGCTGCCGCTGCAATAATGTTCTGTTCCAGTGTTTGCGCTGCTCGCTGACTCGCCAAATGTTTTGACTTAATTTGGAACAAATTTCGTTCACAGAGAGAAAAACGTACAAATTGTATCTGAAGCTAATAAATTTACTCTAATTTATAGAACTGTTTTATTGAAGGGACAGTTCACCGAAAAAATTAAAGTTTGCTGTTAATTTACTGACCCTCAGGCTATCCAAGATGTAGGTGACTTTTTTTTTCTTCAGCAGAACAGTAAGAAGATTTTTAGTTGAAACCGTGGTCCTTATGAGATTCTTAAAATGCAAAAAAAGAAAAGAAAAAAAAAAGCCATATCAAGAAACACAAAATGAATACCCCTGGCTGCTGATTATATCAAGGTCTTACGAAGTGCAACGATCGGTCTGTGCAAGAAACTGAACATTATTACCTGTATTATTACCTGTAATCCATTGCCTCCAGAGTAATGTCCGGTTTGTGAACATAATGGTTCTTTTTAGTGTACTAGATCAATGGTTTTCAAACAGGACCCCCAGCCCTGCACATTTTGTATGTCTCCCTTATCAGACACACCCGATTCAGGTCTTGCAGTCTCTACAAATGAGCTGATGAGTTGAATCAGGTGTGTTAAATGAGGGAGACATACAAAATGTGCAGGGTTGGGGGTCCTCCAAGACAGGTTTGAAAACCCCTGAACTAGATGAACCAGTTCACCAAATTGTACTGAACCTTCTGAAACATTTCCTGGCACTAGCAGCACAGATCTACCAGTTACTCAATCAAAACTCACTTTCGGATGTGCCAGGCAGTCACTGACTCGGAACGAAGAACTGCTGAGCCGTGATAAGCGCATACATGAACCAAGCACTTGAATGAAGATGTGAAATCAAGTTTTTATAGTTTCTCAATGTTTATGTAAAAAGGTGAGCTGATGAATTCTAGTTTATTCACTCTATATGCTTTAGACATTTATAACATCCACATTTCACATCATTATTGTGTGCTTTAATAGGTTAATTGCGTACACGTTATGTCATTTTGTGATTACCTAAACGAACTGGTGAATCAGTTATTTGGACCGGAAACAAAAAGAACCATTTTGCAGAAAAGAATCAGACTTTCACATTTCAGCCACTGGCATTAATTTTGTGTTCCTTGATATGCTTTTTTTCTAATTGTCAAAAACTGGTGGCCGCTGACTTGCAATTTAGGCTATGAATCACCAAGGACCACGGTTTCAGCTAAAAATCTTCTTTACTGTTCTACTGGGAAAAAAAGTCACGTACATCTTGGATGGCCCGAGGGTGAGTAAATTAACAGCAAATTTTCATATTTGGGTGAACTATCCCTTTAAACCGGTATCACACACGCTATTGTGCTGTTATTCTGAAAATCGTGCTGATATTCAGAAATACAGCTTGCGATATCGGTCAAATAGTAGCCTATCTCTATATAAGAGAGAGAGACCCAGACAGACAGACAAAGGCAGGTTATAAATCGGACACAATGAGCTCAAGTCGGATGTGTTGAAACATGGAAAACACCTTGGAATTTATGACTTGAAGAGTAAATTACTCCAGTGTACTTTCCTCTTAAAATGTATACATGACCAGTAACAGTTTAGTAGTCTACAGTGTGTTGAAGCCTCCTGTGTCTCACGTTAAATAACCTTGCGCAATCTGAAACGACACAGAAAGCGATTAGAAACCCAGCTGCTCCAGTGATGAACAGGTTATGTGCTTTAGGCCCTAAAGTTTAGGGCAAAGTCAACTAAAACAATCCTGCACCACATAAAAGAAGCTGAAGGGACAAGATTTTCCCACACATATTCTTTCTGCAGGAAGCGATAATACGTTCACCTAACGTTACCGCTTGAAAACAGCTGCTGATAAACATCGCCACTGGCACACAAACAGCACATCACAACAGCACAGCAAAACCATGCTCAATCAACCCATAGCCTATCGCATTATTAAGAATCAATGCAGCATTAATATTAATAGGCTATTAATGCGTAGAAAACCTCAAGTTGCCATGAGTGAGAAATGAAAGAATATGCAATGACTGAAATTAGAGGAAAGTACTCTATCAACTTCTAATGGAAATACATTCAATATTTTCATTTTAAATGTCCTATATATCAAAGGTATACACGTGACGAATAGACATAGGCTCAGGTCATGGTGTGAATACCTGATATTCCTCATCCCTAATGCCAAAACAAACTGCTGTTATCAATATAGCGTAAACTCGAGTCCACGAGCACTCACCTTCCGCCGTTAATTCTCCTCGGGTGATCTGAAAAACACTTCCCAAAGCGTGTAAAACTAGAACAATTCCCACAAACACATCGAGCGTGCTTGAACCAGCCATATCAGATATCCACCGAGACAGATGTCCTCAGTTTCTTTTGCTCAGTCGTCGACAAAGAAAATGTAAAATAACGACAAACAGCGAGCTTTCCGCGCTCCTTCCCGGACTCTTGAGTGTCGCGCGCTCGCGCCCTCTGCTGAAGCTACTGCCTCACCGCTCCTATGACGCGAGGGCTCGCGCTCCCGTTTCTTGAGACTCCAGACCCAAACAAATCCTAGCAGACTTCGAGAGAGTCTAGAAAACAGTCCCATCTAGCTCGCCTCTTATCCATGCATTCACCACAAAACCAGGAGGTGTAGATGGAGTCATACATGTAGGCTACCACCAGTAGTGTCCTGACTCTCAGACATGAGGTGGATTTGGTATTAGTGCCGCTTAGTTCACTGTTTCTTAAGAGATGAAACAAAACATGTCACACAACTTTATCTGCTATTCGTTTTTAAAATAGAAACAGTTCCACTCTTTTAAAGTCACAAGTGACGATCACTAGAATGTTCTGAACACAAATAATTTAATTAGGCTAGATTTTCTCTTTATTTGATCAAAATAATGAAATAACATTTTCACTCACAACCCCTCAAACCACCTGTCCTTAGACAGTAGTAACTCAACACCTCATATAGACCGACATACTGGCTATATACTGTATAATGTTTTAATATAGTATATTACATAAGTTTAATAAAATATGTATTAAATAAATATAAACATTACATGCTGTGACGAAAAATAAGATACAATTGTGTTGTCCACATTGTCAGACATTTATGGTTGTTTAAATTCCTGTAGTAATGAAATCAGACCAAATGTACAGTAGGCTATACAGTAAATGTAACATCTCACATTTGTCATTTTTTCCTAATAAATATTTGAGACCTCTGAACATGTTGGGGGGAAAAATTAAGCTAGATAATATTAATATGTAATATATAATAAATATATAAAAAGGGCCAAACAGACCACAAAACTGAAATCTGTTTTTTTGTTGTTTTTTTTCAAATTAATAAATAAATACAAAACTGAATATACTGGTTTTCAAGTCAGTTTTGACCCATGTTTTAAGAACCAGTGATTCACATAATTTAGACTTTTACTAAGTTATATCTTGTATGCATGAGAATTATGGATCAGAATGTCGAATCGCTCCCTGTACTAATTGTCCTTGATGTTAGTACATTCAATTCTATAAAGATTGCTTCTGTTGTCTCCTCCTGAGAGCCCAGAGGCAAGACAAGGGGGTGGAGGGGGTGAACGGGGGGATCATTAATGTTTGGGAATGGCACTGGCAGGCTTTTCCACACTGTCTGCCAGGCAGAGTCCCTCTAGAGCACTGAGAGGCAGTGAGCTGTGGTTGAGCGCTAACCACCTCCCTCTGCTCCTTTAGATCAGGACAAGCAGCCTAGCGAAAACATTTAAGGATGAAGCATGCTAAAGCCTACACATTAGCATTCCAATTTAAACACCCTTACAATGTTACATCAAGAGCCAAAACACATAGAAACGCTGCCTGAAAACCTTGGTTTTGGATCTGAGGGCCTTGATTTATTGTTCTCATGTTTATGACAGTGCACTGCACAGTTAACTACTTTCATTTGTCTTTGTGCATGTTTTGGTATCATTACAGTTTTCAATTTTATCATCTGTCAAAATGTGGTCTGCTTGAATCCAAAAGGAGACCAAGTGGTGATTGAACACACATTTAAAGTAATGAAAATACAATATTCTCAAAACCACAGAGATCTGGAAGGAGAACAGGCTATGAAAACAAAACAATCTCTAAAATGGCACCCAGAGTCCATACTAGATTTGATAAACCTTCCCAGATTAATGTTACATTGTGGTCATCTTAAATTTTAAATTTAATTTAATAAAACTATGATTTTTGTAGCG